CCAACTGAAATGTAAGTTAAAATCCCTATAGTGACGTAAATGTTTGTTCAAACCTGTTCGTAGGAAATTAAATACGGGGCCCTCCGTCTGTAATATGCGGATATGCAGATTGGCAGACGGAATGGAGGGACGAAACTGGCCAACGCCAGGGCGACTTGATTAATATGCGCGGTATGAATACGAAATCAGCATGTCTCATGTTGTTGGGGGGGGGGTGTTCTCTAAAGAACACATTTTTGGTGTTTGGAACCAGGCTTTGTGACATTGTTCAAATCTAAACAAACACAATAAAACCAAACTTTAAGTTGGTAACACTTTACAACAATGTCCCATTAGTTATCATAAGTAAATGCATTAATATTAACCAACAATGAGCAATACATTTGTTACAGTATTTATTAACCTTTGTTATCATTAGTTAATAAAATACAACTGTTCATTGTTCGTTCATTCTAGCTCATGTTCATTAAATATTAATAGACAGCTTTTGATTTTAATAATTTATTAGTATATGTTAAAATAAAAATTAACTAAGATTAATACATGCTTTAGAGTTTTTTTCATTGTTAAATGTTAACTAACGCAGTTACTTATTGTTAACAAATGGAACCTTATAAAAATAAATGACACTTACACAAATTGGTTTCTTTGGTCTCAAATTTGAGGAACCAATAATGGCCATTACTTGGACCTTTCAGCATGTTATGCAGTTTTACAGTTTTTTTTGTTTGTTTTTTTGGTAATCTATGAATCAGCATGGCATCTAAAAACACTACAGCACTTTCCTAAACACCTGTTGTACCACAATAAATAGTTTTGCCTGAGTATGGAGAGAAGGATTTTTTGTGATTTGAAAAGTGGGTTCAGATTGACAGCTTCAGTCAGGGAAATACACATGAACTAAAACTGTAGATATAAGGTGCACAATGTTAATTTACCAATATCAGAATAATACAAAAGTTGATATAAAATGTGAGGTATTGCAAAATGCCAAAAGTGAGTGAAAAGTTATTTTCTGTTAACACAAATTGTGCATCAGTATTTAATTTAAATAAAACTAAAATAAAATAATAAATCTATGAGTATATATAATAATTTTTATGTATTATATATTTTACAAATACAAAAGGGTCTTTTAGGGACAGTTATACCCTAATTATGAATTTCTTTGATTTTTCATCTGTTAAATTTGACACAAGCATAGGTGGTGCAGTTAGAACAATATGATAAGTAAAAATTAGATTAACAGTTTGGCAAGTGAACAGCATCCATTAGGAAAGAAACAGGCAAAAACAAACCAAAAATCTGCACATGAATCACAGCAAATGAATCTTATGGTGATGTGCAAATCTGAACTGCAAGTTATATGCTTGTAATGTTCAAGAAGAAAAAAAGATAAATTCATGAGACACTTCCCTTGTTTTTCTCTTCTACTAATCTTCTGCCCCCTCACATTGGGGGAGAGGAACCAGAGTGATTTTGTATGAGAGGCCGTTTCTCTCGTATTGTTATTAATAAAGACCTGCACTGACACCTTCGCCAGGCCTGATTGTGGGGCTCATCTGCATTGTATAGAGAAATAGGGGGGATTCTGCAATATTACCAAAGCTGTAATTTCCTGCAATATCATTTCACATTTGTCCTCTTTTCTAGTCTTTTTCCACCGCTTCTCTTTTGGCCATTTCTACCCTGTTGGAGTGTAATTAAGAGTCCTGACCCCGTGACCCCCTGGTTTAAACAAGCCATTTGAAAAATGCTCTGAAAAAGCAGATCTTTAACAAAATATCCCCCCATCTCTCTCTCTCTCAGGGGGTTAAGCGATAGAATAACATGATTAATCCAGTAATTGTATGGCAGGCAGTAGTTGTATTTCTCTATCTGAGTGCTGGTTTTTTTTCTTTCTGAGAGGATGATTACATGAGGAAGGAATGTCCCATGTTATCGGCTCTTCTGACAAACTATCTGCAGGGGGCATGATTATATTATGCCAGTTCATACTCGAGTGACAAAACTCACAAATGTCAGAAAAGATGGTGGAAAGAAAATAAAAAGCATCGAGGAAATTAAATTTCACGTCTGATGGTTCTTTGCCTCCACATCTTGCATTCAAATCGTTTAATGCACAGTTGTGCATTATCCCGCTTATACCTTGGTCATTTGCCAGCACTAACAAGTTAAAGCTGTTAATGATGTTTGCAGCGCAATATTTAAGAGTAAAAATGAAAGTTACGGCTCGTTAGTGCTAGCATTCTGCCCGCTTCAAAACAGACACAGAGATGAAATAGTGCGGTAGGATCACATTTATTTGAATGAATGAATTATAACATTTATTTGAATGAATTATCAATCGATCGAACGAGAGAGAGATAGATGACAGTTGCGTGTGCGAATTACCTGCATCTCTCTCTACAAACAATGAAGCTGTGAATTTAGTTACTTAAACAGTGATTTTATTCTCCTTGTTGCTGAGGAATAATGTAGCGATCCAGTATCTAAGCTATTTTATCAATAAAAGTTGCAGGGCAGCGTTGACATCAAGTTTCTGTGCTCCTGAATGTTTCTGTGTGTGCGCTGGACGATCTACAGTACAATCTCTCTCTCTCTGTGTGTGTGTGTGTGAGTGATTAGTGTGTGTGTGTGTGTCAATGAAAGCAGTGCATTTATATAGAACGGTGATTAAACTGACTTGAAACTACCTGTGCATTAAACTGTTTTAATGCATACCTGCCAGCCAATCAAAATCCAGTATTCAGACCAACCATGGTATAAATGCATATAATGAACAGATTTATATATTTATACCATGCTTCTTTATTCTGCAGAAGACAAAAGGATGCATTTTGAAGACTCTTTCCATACATTTATAATGAAATAAGCAAAACTACTATAAAAGTATCATAAAAGTGATTTGTACAGATTTGTTCCACATCTTTTAAAACCACATGTTAGTTTTATGTAAGTGACCAACTGAAATTTAAGTTGTTACTCAGAAAATCATTTATCCAGTGAGTAAATTATGACAGAATTTTCAATATTTGGGTACTTACACTAAACTCTAAATTTCTAAAAGTAGGAACAAGGAATCCATTCATCTAAACTAAAATCATATTTATTATAAATCTGTTTTTTTTGTAGTGTCTTTAAAACAGACTTACATTTTAACATTTAATAGCTATAAACATAAGTGCCATTAAATATTTCTTGTCCACTACACTATCAACTAATTTTGCATGAAATACCCACTTTTAAAGAATAATAAGCGCTGTCTTGGATGATTCTGCCAGTGCTGTGTTGGGACACCGGAGGTTGGCTTCAGGCAGAGTAAGCAGAGCAAGCAGCAGTGCGGAAGACAGCCTCTCTGGCATTCTGTGTTTTTAAAAAAGGGATTGAGGCAGAGACTTCTCTTATTACAACACGCTGACACCTCAAACGTCAATGCCAAGAACATGCACAAACTCTGTGTTCCTTTGCCGTCTTTTGTAAAACTAGCCTTTGTTTAGCTGATGCACCGAACACACTCAGAAAAAAAGGTACAAAAGCAGTCACTGGAGCAGTAACCTTTAAAAAACGACTAATATGTACAATTTTGGTACTAATATGTACACTTGGGGTATTAATATGCACATTTTAAGGGTAAATAAGGTACAAAGGTATACCTTTTGAAAAGGTACCACCCCAGTGACAGCTTTGTACCTTTTTTTCTGAAAGCCACTGTATAAATCTATGCCCAAATTTTGACGTATGCTGTTACAAAAAAATTGGTATTTCTAACAAATGCTGTTCTTTTGAACTTTCTATTCATCAAAGAATCCTGAAAAAGTATCACTGTTTCCACAAAAATATTAAGCAGCACAACTGTTTTCAACATAATAATAATAACTGTTTCTTAAGCAGCAAATCACTATATTAGTATGATTTCTGAAGGATCATGTGACACTGAAGACTGGAGTAATGATGCTGAAAATTCAGTGTTGCTTCGCAAGAATAAATTACATTTTAAAATATATTTAAAAAAACAGAAAACAGTTATTAAATTATAATCATATTTCATAATATTACTGTTTTTACTGTATTTTTGCTCAAATAAATGCAGCTTTTATGTGCATAAGAGACTTATTTCAAAAACCCTAAACCATAACCCCAAACTTTTAAATGGTAGTGTTTATATAATATAAAAATAATGAATAAATGAGTCAATCCATGTAAGGGATAATCCACAGCTAAATGAATGGATGGACTGATTTGAAGTAATTAGTTAGAGAGAACGTGTGTGAATTACCTGCATCTGTGCAGCATCTCTATACTAATAGTGAAGCTGTGAGTTGTTACCCCTCACTGCAGAGAAATACAATGTTTCTGTACTCCTAAATGTTTCTTTGTACGTGTGTGCACATCAATGAGGGGTAGCGCATTAATATAGAACAGTGATTAAACTGACTGGAACTACCTGTGCATTAAACGGTTTTACTGTAAGCACACTTTCCAGCCAGTCAGAATTGAGTATTCAGATAGATCATGGTATTAAGAATAAATCAGGGTTGTTTGCACTGACATCCACACCTGCAGATACTGCTAATGTTGTGTTCATTTCTTTTCTGGAAAATGGAAGATTTGACTCACTTTCTCATTCAAACATTTGCAACAAAAATTGCTTAGTTAAAAGATCATGCATTACCACTCAAAACATTAAACTAAAGAAAGTTTTGTCATTCATTTCAGTACATTTTAGCAATTAACAGCCAAATTCATTAATTAAGATTATGAATTATAGGACTATTAATTTTGGCTCTCAATATGACAATCAGATACTATAATCAGATGTATCTTGAGAGGATATCTCCATCACACCAGTCACCAATTCACCTTTAGATTTATAGCGAAGTCATCGTTGGCAATTGTCACCAGAATTTAACCCCACCCGATATCACATTCTGTAACTCTTTGATGTGTGAGGCATGATTTGTCTTTCACATTGCTCGAGTGATAAGCCTTCCTTCCAGTCAACATGTACTACAGACGCTTGCAGTTAGGACTCCCTATTAATGAGCATGTTTGTTTGGCTATGATAAGGAGCAGGGATGTGTGTATGTATCTGTGTGTGCCAAAGGAACATGAGCTCATGCCTTCTAAGGTAAAGCAAACTGCATGTTATTCCTACTAATAAATAAATAAATATTAAATATTATAATTATTTATTACAATGTAAAATATCAGTTTTCTTATATATATATATATAATAAATAATTATAATATTTGTTGTAATAAATAATAATTATAATATTAGTTTTTTATTGAATTTATAATTAAATAAATGCAGGCTTGGCTTATTTCAGGAAAAAAAATAAAAATAATAATAATAGTAATAATAATACATAATAGATTAATTTATCTGTAAGGGAATAACTAAGAACATTTTTACCATAAGTTGTCAGTTTGGAGCTACAGGTATGGGTGGTTATTGTGCAATTACTGAGAAAATATGCTTTCATCTTAAGCATATAACTATGATTAGTCCAGTCTATTCATTAGTATTCTCAACTCCTTAGTGCTGCAGAAAATAAAACAAATTAAAAATAAAATAAAAATGAAACAAAACAAAACAAAGCAAAAGACGAAAATGAAATGCATGTGCCATTTTCCCTTTTCTGTGATGTGAGGTATTCTTTCTCTCTCCCTCGGCATCAGGCACGATGCCCCTCTTTTCTGACGGCTACTTGAGTCTGAATGCACTGTTATTATAGGCATTATATGAAATTGGGTGTTTTATGTGAAGGCGGATTATGGATCAATAACGGTGGTGGATGTGATTGGGATAACTGGCCACTGTCACTTCTGCTCTATTGCCGCTGTCAGGGCTGATTTATAAAGTATGTGTGTTTGTGTGTGTCCTGCTTCTTTCATTTATTCCACATCACTCACTTGAATGGTTGTTGCAGTGTATCTCGATTTACCCTGGAAAAAAAACCTGATTTGCGAGACGTAAATGCACCTACATGAGAGGGGACAATCTACATGTGCTTTTAGAGGTAAGGAGAGTGATTGCCCGTGTGTGTGTGTGTGTGTGTGTGTGTGGAGGAAACATGAAAGTGAGTTTATACACAGAATTTCTTGATTCCTAGGAGATGTCTCATATTACAAAACATTACAAAAGCATTTAGAAAAGTTTTTTATATCATGGAATTTCAGTATTTACAATTAAATGCCATAGAATTTCAGCTTAATTAAAATCATAGAATGCATACATCAATTTGGGCTGCATTTTTCACGTGAAATATTCTTTTAATCTGACATTCCTCAAATACGTCAATGAATGTGCCTTTGATCATGTGAACTTTTATATTAAAAGGTTTAATAGCCTAGTTTTCATATATTTTCTATGTGGAACTGCATTGACATTACATAGCTAATAGATTTTATTTTTTACATTTTCCATCAGTTATCTATTATCTAAATGTAATAAAATATATTCAGTGTTAAATACCATGTTCAGATTTATACTTAGTATTTGAGCAATTTGTCAAAGTACAGATTTTTTTTTTTTAAATCCAAAGCTATGTACGACATATAATTCAGTACGCTGTATCACAGACACAAATTGAGTTGAGCAAGGATGCAACTGCAATCGCTCATGGATCAGTCCTTGCTGGGTTTGAACCCGAAACATTTCTTTAACTGTTATATGAACAATACCCGTTACCAACTGTTACCAACAATAACAACAGCCATTTCACATTTAAGGTCAAAAGAATGTTACAGTGTTACTGGTTTCTTAATAATCGAATCAGTAGGAAATATTTGATCATCGTATTTTTTATTACATTATTTTATGCCCCAGTACTGTGGTATATGATTATGGATACTGTCACAGTTCATTCATATTTTGCCAAACCAATAAAGAAAAGAAAAAAATAATTTTCATCATTGACAAAACAGTAGAATCTGTCCATATGTTATTGAATAAACCACGTAGTGTTTTTTTTTTCTACAGTAAATCTTTTTTACCAAAAAAAAAAAAGTCAGTTTCTGTGAACAGGTCTGTTTAACATGGATCTGTGTCTGTGTGAGTGGGTTATTGTAGACAGGCAGATGGTGTTAAACTACTGTTAAAAATGTCAATACATTTAAATAAACTTAAAAAAGACTTGAAATAGTGTGAAGTTCTCTCTCCTTCCATGAGGAGGTCTGCCACCCAGTGGCACAAACAGACAAAAGTAAGCTTCAGGTCTATGTGGAGATTAGCCTACCGATGAAAATGCTTGTTCAGAAAGCCATTAAAATGTACATTATTTGGGCAAATTTGCGGTGTTTAAAACTTTGCCCAGATCTATATTCCTTGACACTAACAGAATTAAACCATTTTCAGTTTTTCTTTTCTTTCCAAAATAAACGTTTTCGAACTTGTAAATAAAACAAACATTAATGGAGTAGGTTTTACAGGAAAATACTATTTCTGTCTTTCTAATTCAAAATCTAACATTTAATTCAAATTGTTACTTTCCATTTCTTTGTAATTAATTGTGAAATTTACAAGCAATTTCTGAGTGGCAATTGTTTCAAAGTAAATCCTCTTTTCTTTTTTTTTTCAGTGAAGGAAGCACAATAGCGGATACGATACAGAAGAAGCCTTGTTTTGGTTACTGAGACCAAAAACACGAGCTGTAGTCACTATGGCAAATAGGGAAGATATCTGCAACAGTTGTAGTAAACATTATTATCGCTACAACACAATGAATGAATGCTTCGGTTTTCAGAGGTTCTTATAAATGTTATGTAGACATTATGAAATCATGGATAATTTATTCACTGACTGAAATGTTTATTATTAACAACAGCAACAATGATACCAAACTCACCAAAATAACCGCATTTGATTTTTTCATGCAGCATTTAGAAAAAAAAAGCATCCTAAAAAACAGCTCGAATTTATCAATTAAAATACAAGAATGAGAGAAAAGCAAAGTTGTGGCTTGTTGTGGATTCTGGAAACAGTAGTGCATAAATTGCTGTTGAAATAAAGGGGGAGGCTTCTCTCTCTCTGGCTATGTCACTTTTACATAAGACCAAAATATAGGGGAACAATAGCTTCTGTTTAATAATTACCCAAATCTTGACTACAGTTACATAAAAGCTATATTATTGCTCTATCCACTGAAGCCCATCGTATCTCTGTCAATGTCTCACATTGTGTTCAATCCAGATCTGGCCACTGGCTTTTAAGTGGTTTTAAAAGTAATGCATTAGCAATTTTACACTTTTTCCATATTAAAGTAATTTTGGAGTGCATGATGTAAATGGAGGTAGCAGGTATGTGATACTAATGCATTTGGGAAATGTTTTAGTCAATCAGATGGATTTCGAAATGTACGATGATTATATGATGAGCCTTTATAAGAATATATTTTTTTAATTCCTGCAAGGACAATCCTTTGATGTTACTGACACTGCTGACTGCACAAACGTCCAACTGCCCTGGATACTCTCTCTCTCTCTCTCTCTCTCTCTCAGTCTCTCTGTGCTGCACTGGTACCATCACTTTCATCTCTCAACCGCTCTCATTTTACATCATTTAGAATCCATATCTTAATAACAGACGTTGAATTCCAAATGATGCAGCTATTTTATGGTGACATTAAGAATATTAGAAGTCAGCCAAGATGGATTTGATTGAAGTGATATTAGAATAAACCAGTGCTTACAAGTTATTTAAATGAAGATGTAAACTAAAACAATTAACTAAATGATCATACAAAAGTGATTAAATTTAATGAAAATTAATGTAATTTTTAAAAAAGTATTTTAATGATATTTTTTTCACCTTTTCAACATTTATTTCTTTTTTTTTAACCAGGGAAATTATGGTGATGAATACAACTATTCTAAAAAAGTAAGCTGGATGTTTTATATATATATATATATATATAT